TATGGAAGAAAAACCTTCAATTTATGAAAGTGATGGAATTCCTACTAAACAAAAGGAATAAGAATGATGATGTGTTTTTCTTTTGTTTTGCAAGTCAAGATTAGGACCTTAAAGAAACTCTGAATGGGAGGCAACCCATCATTTTTAATCAAATTATTTTGTTTTGCAGAATTTACTTTTGTTTTATTCAAGACCATCCATAAGAGAAATTAGCTACTCAAGAATAACCTTGTCATGAAGATCTATATTGTTCTTAATAAATTTGTTTGTAGTTATGTTTTTTTCCTTCAGATTTACAAGTTCTAAATTTAGCATTGAACAAATGATCCAAGAAAAGAAAAAAAGAAGAACTTAATCATAATGAAAGAAACTGATGACTTGAAGGTAAAGGAAGAGAAAAGAATCAATGGACTTGTACTCAACCTTCAGATACCTCATCTAGTAAGGTGAGCCTAAATAATTTCCATTGTCTACTTTTCTTTCTTATAGTGTATCCATGCAATTTTATTTTATCTGGTTTGATCTATTTCCGATTAAGTTTTCAAGTTTGATTGACACACATTGAGGCAAGTTCCTTGTTTATAACTTTGAGCCTTTGTAGCCACCCTGTAGTATTAGGAACATCATTTGCTAACCACTTTGAGTCTAGGGCTTTCTTTCGATGATGTATACTACTACAAAAAACAAATGCAACAACAATTAAAAAATATATATTATCACACAGGACCGGTCGTTGTTACGTAGTGTGTGGTTGTATATGCATTGCTTACAATCACGATCGTATGACCGTTGTAAAAAACTGAAAAGCGCGCTACCTATAATCACGGTTGTTTTAAATACCTGTTGTTAAAGGTCTGTCAGCATTTTTTTTTGCCACGTGTTTTGCCTGACTGCATTTATAACTTTCATCACAATATACAATATTAAATATTTTAACACGATAACATCAAGAACAACGAGATTAACAAGAATAATAAGAACAACAACAAGAAGAATAAGAACAATAACAAGAACACCAAGAACAACAAAAATAACAACAAGAACGACAAGAACAACGAGAATAATAACAAGAAAAATAAGAACAATAACAATAATAAGAACAAAAATAAGAATAACAACAAGAATAATAAGAGCAGTAACAAGAACAACAAGAACAACAAAAATATCAACAAGAACGACAAGAACAACGAGAACAATAACAAGAACAACAAGAACAATAACAATAATAAGAACAAAAGTAAGAATAACAACAAGAGCAATAACAAGAACAACAAGAACAATAACAACAACAACAACAACAACAACAACAATAACAAGAACTACAAGAACAACAAGAACAATAACAAGAACAAAAAGAACAATAACAACAACAATAACAACAACAATAACAACAACAAGAACAAAAATAAGAATAACAAGAACAATAAGAACAAGAACAAGAAAAAGAACAACAACAAGAATACCAACAAGAATAACAAGAGCAACAATAACACAAACAACAATAAATAAACAACTAAATAGAATCGTTAAACAATAACATTTTACCTGTAGAATCATTAAACATGAACAAACTGTAACACATCAATTGGAAGTCATTGGAGGTCATCTCTTCAAGGGACTTCTTATGTTATTCTCATATATCAATTGTGGTATTATTATCTGAATAATGAGTAGCTAAATTCTTCTAGATTAGGTTGTGTTATGATGAGTAGCTAAATTCTTCTAGCGGGGGTATAACAAAGGCGGACGCTTTCTTCCATTGCGGTAAGACCGGATACTGGACGAGAAATTTCCCAAAGTACTTGGAAGATAAGAAGAATGGAGTGAAGACTTCAACTTCGGATATTTTTTTTAAAGAAATGAATTTATCTACTAATGTATCACGAGTATTGGATATTGGATGTGGTTCTCACGTTTGTACTAATGTGCAAGGACTAAAAAGGAGTAAAGAAACAACAAAAGGTGAAGTTGATCGATGAGTTGGAAATGGAGAAAAGATTGTTGCTTTAGCCGTAGGAACTTATGTATTGACTTTACTTGGTGATTTAATAGATAGAGAGTTGTTATTATGTACCTGAAATCAGCAGGAATATTATTTTTATTTCTTGTTTAGACAAATTTTGTCTTTCATTCATAATAAAGAACAATTGTTGCTCTATTTATTTGAGTGATGTATTATACTCAACAAATGAACAATGGAATTTATGTCTTTGATCTTGAAATGTCAATTTATAACATTAATACCAAAAGTATGAAACCTAATGAGTTAAATCCAACTTATTTTTAACATTGCCGCTAAGGCCACATAAATAAGAAACGCATTACCAAACTCCATAAAGATGAACTCTTGGACTCTTTTAATTATGAAATATCATACATGTAGATCTTGATTAAATGGAAAGATGACAAAGTCCTTATTCACAGGAAAAGTTTAAAGGGATAATGATCTTTTGGCCCTTATACATACTGATGTATGTGGACCATTGAAAACACTAGTTAGATGATATTTTTAATAATTCATCACATTTAATTATGCTTATAGTAGATATAGTTATGTGTATCTAACAAAACATAAATCTGAATCCTTAAAGTTCAAAGAATTCAAAAATAAAGTACAAAACCAACTAGGCAAGAATATTAAAACCCTTCGATCAGATCAGGGTGGTGAATATTTAAGCCTTGAATTTAGTGACCATCTAAACCAGATGTGGGATTCTATCCCAACTAACTCCTCTTGGAACACCACAGTGGAAGGTGTATCCGAGAGAAGAAATTGAGTATTATTAGACATGGTTCGATCCATGAAGAGTCACGTTGATCTTCCAAACTTCTTTTAGGGACATTCTTTATAAAGATGACATCTTTCACACTTAACCGTGTTTCACCTAAAATGATTGAGAAGACACCATATGAGATATAGAGCGGCAAAAGACAATATATGACTTTCCTTAAGATTTGAGGTTACAAAGTTTGTGTGAAACGACATATTTCAAATAAGCTTGAACCCAAATCTGATAAATGCTTCTGCAATCCTTCGGAGGGAAAAGTATTTATCACTCGAACTAGAGTATTCCTAGAAAAGGATTTTATTTCTAAAGGAATCAGTGGAAGGAAAGTAGATCTTGTAGAAATTCAATAATTACAAAGTAGTTCAATAAATAAAACCCTTTTTGTAGAATATTTTACACTTGATGAAATTAGTACACTTTATGAAATTAGATTTTTGAAACCTCGTTGTAATCTCTCTCTCTCTCTCTCTCACTCACACACACGCGCGCGCACACACACACACAAGTCTTCATTTGTATCAGCTAGTACTAATATTGAATGCACTTTGTTCATGTGGACTAAGTAGAGGCGTTGATCATCGTTCATCACTTTTGATCATTCATCTGATTCTACATCAAAGGTTTTAATCGCCACGAGAGGTAATTGTTTCTATCACTAATCATGCTCATTCGTAAGGATCGACTTAAGGAAAAAAATTTATTTTGCTATGCGTATGGTATTGTGATTTCCCTTCAATGGTGACTCGTGGGTAACATAATAAAGTTGAAGAAAACGGAGAGAGGTACAGAAGAAGAGAAAAATGATTATCTTGTTTTTGAAAGTTTTGTCATCTAAGGTGAAGAATTTATAGGAAGTAAGTGATAATTCTGATGAAGAAGCTCCTAAAGAAGAGGACATAGGTTTATTTTTTAGACACTACAATTGGTACTTGAAAAGAAATAAGCTAAAGCATTCAGACAAGGTTTGATAAATTTCAAAAAGAAACACCCGCCTAAAAGAGATCACAAGGAAAAGGATGATGATGTCATATGTTATGAGTGCAGAAAATCGAAACACTATAGAACTATTTGTTCAAATCTCACTAAACATATAAAAAGAAGGATAAAGAATTCTACAAGAAGAAAGAAAAAACTGCCAAAGATCATAGAGCCTCTATTGCGTAGAAAGAAGATGGTGAAAGTTTCCCCTCAGATTCCTGCTTAAGCTCGAATGATAAATGTGTCAATTATGTCTAGTGGCATGAAAGAAAAGTGAATGCTTAAGCTCCAATGATAAATGTGTCAATTATGTCTAGTGGCACAAAAGAAAAGTAACTACTCACAGGTATATACTTTAAGTGAACTTTCATATATAGAATTGTCAAAAGCTGGTAAGTGGTTTTCGCACCATTTTTAGTAGATGTTTTACTTTAGTATTTTACCATTTTTTTAGTAGTTGTTTTACTTTAGTATTTTACCATTTTATGTCCAATTTGCTTCTGTTTATTGTACGGTATGCTTTGCTTGTGTGTTTTTACTATTTTCAAATGTAAATAAGTCTCAGATGCAAAAAAAAGAAACAAAAACGAGTAAAGTGTAAAAAAAAGTCAAAAGTCAAAAAATCCTAATACAAAATCTGAGGGCTGCTGTAGCCGTAGTAGCCATGTCCTAGGGTTCCTCCTTTAGTCATACAAGAATCAGTGGCCTGTTACGGCCATCTGTAGCAACTGCTAGAGTCGTAGCCATGGCCACCCGAATTAAAAAAAAAATTAACCTTCACATAAAAAATAAAATAATAATAATAATAATAATAATAAATAAATAAATAAAAGAGGATATGAAATTATCTCCTGATAATCAACGCTATTATGTTTTGGTTTGATGGAACTTTTAACTAATAAAACTTCAAACAAAGACACAAGTCAATTGTTATAAGGGACAATTCCAGCCCCTTCGTTATTTAACCATATTCAGTAAATATACAAAGCTCCAAGGGAACTAATCTGTGCTCTATACTGTCGGCCAACGTAAATAGTTGTCATAACATACAAACAAAGCACGTCCAATGGGCGCAAATAAATTATTTCGAGTTTTTAACAGGTCTCCCGAACCTATCGCCTCTATTGAACTCTCGAATGATATATTGCAATATATCAAATTAAATTCAACCATATTAAAAGGATGTAAAGAACCGAAAGAATATCTGTTTCCCAACTTGTTGGATGGTTCTAATCATGACTGACTGATATGTGGAAATGGTCGTCCCAAACGAAGTTGGATGCCAACATGAATTATATTCGAAGTTGCCTTCAGAATCTCTCTTTCAGCTTTCTCTGCCATTTCCATTGCATTTCTGTGGGTAAATATACAAACATATGCTGCCATGAGAGACTGATTTATTTTCAAAAGAAACTCTTTAAGGCTAGACAAATTAACTTTTACCGGATTGGGATATCAGGAGGCATGGAAACTTCAATTTGAAGAACAATCTTGCTTTGAAACATGTGGCGTGTTATGCGCTCGACTGACATCTGAAAACCAGCTAAAGACAATAAAATATTTGAAATGCAACTAATTCTAACATCTCCGATACCATTTGATTCTAAATCTTGCTTTGAAAGATATTATGCTTAAATTAGAATAATTGCAAGATAATTTGTTCACTTCTAACCAATACTTAAAGCGAGCAAATCCTCCATAGATGAAAGTTTAAAAAAATTGTGACTGATTCAGTAGTCCACTAACATGCCTACATACATCAAACTTCAAACTGGAGATTATTTTGACTATCTTTTGGTTTTCACCTAAATATGTTACCTGCGGAAAGTTAGCTGAGATAATATCAGAAACTATTCCTTCAATATTACTGTCTCCAGCAGGAGCAATACTGTTCTGGTCCATGTCTCCACTCCAACTATCTTGCTGATCGGTTGTGCTAGGAGATGCATGTGACATAGCAGGATCTACAATAGAACCAAGATTATCAATACCATAAATAATGAAAGGGTACAGCAGCAAGATATCAGAATACATGACATACACTACAAAAATTTATTTAGATAGCAGAAATCCTCGTCATAGTATACAAGTGAATTTCTGCAAAATTTTAAGTAAACGAAGTATGAACATAAAATTAATTGCACATCTATGCAATGGGCAAACCTCTAGTCTGTGACATAAGAAAGACAGAAAGACTGACCTAAACTGACAGACTTATATCTTCCTTTTGACAATCATAACAGGCTTAGCATTTTCACTACATAAGCAATGGTTCAACAATTATTTAAAAATAATTCACTAACATCGACAATATAAATTTCAGAAGTCTTGGTTATATACTAGAAACATAAATTGTCAGAATGCCTATACTATATTGAGGGTGGGGTCTGATACCAAATGACTAAGAGTTTATCTCCATCAATATAGGAAATTTATAAAACCATCCAACAGACCTATGTGTATAAACATTTCAGTCACAGTAGGGTGAAACTTGTGAGTTTGCTGTCGGACATTTTCACCAATGTCATGTGCAGAACTAACACTGGAAAAGGGATCAACCTGCAAGATAAAACGAACAAGTAAATCGCAGAGACTTAGTCAAACCATGAGTTCGTGACACAAAGTAAAAGAAAGAATATGAATTTAAGGAAAACCAACCTCAATATTTACATCAAGATACAGAGTAGAACCAGCTCTCCTTCCTCTTAAACGATGGCATCCCTGCATTTGAAATTTAAAAAAAAATGATAAGAATATTATCTAAGTTCATACATTCATATGCAAAACAGAAGAAATTAACATCTGGTCAAAGTGCATGCGAAAAATTGGAAGCATGAATTGAAACATTTTTAAAGTAAAAGAAAATATTTTAAAAAGAAATCAAATATGAAGTCAAAGGATGCCAAAATAGTACTTTTAAAATAAGTATGCAAAACAATACCTTGACACCTTCGACTTGCAGTATTGTTTGTTTAATGGGATCCAAATGGTGTGCCGGGATTGCAGCATCCACCAGCTCCAAGATACTGATAGTTGATAAATAAGTAAATAAAACATCCAATGGTCCAAATTAGAAGTCCGGATACAGTCAAAATTGTTATAGATACTTCTGGAGGTTGAGAAACATCTTAAGTCATGGTGCTTTAATTCACATTCTCTACTATCCTAAGTTAATAGCAATTAGATGCCATATTCAATATATTGATGAATTTATGCTTTATAGATAATCCAGCACATTTCTATGTCCAAAACAGGTGTGTTCAATGCTCTCTTCTATCCTCATAGGAGAGTCACACCAAGTGTCTATATATTTAACTTAGGTTCCAGAATATGCTTGACATGGAAACACCTTAGTAACAAAAACATATTCAAACTTCAATCAATATATATATATATATATATATATATATATATATATATATATATATATATATATATATATATATATATATATATATATATATATATATATATATATATATATATATATATATATATATATATATATATATATATATATATATATATATATATATATATATATATATATATATATATATATATATATATATATATATATATATATATATATATATATATATATATATATATATATATATATATATATATATATATATATATATATATATATATATATATATATATATATATATATATATATATATATATATATATATATATATATATATATATATATATATATATATATATATATATATATATATATATATATATATATATATATATATATATATATATATATATATATATATATATATATATATATATATATATATATATATATATATATATATATATATATATATATATATATATATATATATATATATATATATATATATATATATATATATATATATATATATATATATATATATATATATATATATATATATATATATATATATATATATATATATATATATATATATATATATATATATATATATATATATATATATATATATATATATATATATATCAAACAGTTAAACATATTAAAAGGTGCATGAAATGTTGATAAATTGAAGAGAAACATGTGACAAAATAAGGTACCTTTGGTAACCAGTTTCAGCACCTGCTTTTAAAATCATGACCGAGACAAAAAGTCCAGCAAGGGGATCTAAAAACTTCACTCCAAGAATAGAACCTCCTAACATGGAGACGAAAAACTATGTGTCAAATGAATGCTAGCAAGACTAAGGACATTAATGATCAATTACTGTTAGGAACCTTTCTTTTGGTGTATTGAAAGAATTACCCAAAACAGAAAAGAATTGAGTAAAATAGAGAAAGTTTCTAATTAGAATAAAGACTGATCAACAAAATTGAGAAAAGAAGAATTCTTTGCATAGTACTTCTGTTGCTATCAATTGAATGGGATAACAGGATTGAAAGAGAAGATACAAAAGGTATACAATGAAGATGATAACCTTGCACTCAAGACCACCTCAAAGGAGCACTCTCCTCTCACTAGAGCTTTTTCTAGTCAGAATTTAACTATTCAAAGCTATCCTCTTCTTTATCAATTGAAGGTTATTTTTAAAGGCTTTCTAAGAATAGCCAAAATAACAACCACTTGACAAACATATCAACTAACTAACTAACTCTTAACTAGTTTATTTATCCAATATTCTATATCATAACAATTACACAAAAACAAGACATGTGCAGTACAAAAGGTATACACGTATTTCGAGGTGCAGATAGAATCTTAATGCTTGCAATCATTATAAAAGACCCAAAAATAGTAAAACATTTAGTCTCTAAAAGAAACATTTGTTCCCTCCATCTCTATTCTTTGGCCCTTTAAGCTTCTCACTTTTGTCCTGAAACTTTGGTTTTTTTGGAAAACCAAAATACAATTGATGATTTTTTTCCCCTTTGCACCCTTCCAAAAACCAAAAGCATGCATTAAATTGACATACTTTTGCTTAATGAGTTAAGGATAAAAAGGTCTAAATTTATTAAAATTTCTTCCTAGGAATATTATTGCTAAGAAATTTATTCCTATCAATGTGTTAAAATAAATGTGTTAAAATAACATGAGAGTGGGAAGTTATGGTTGGTTATTTTATATTCCCATGGGAACGTAAGATTCCCATCCTTTGACATGGCAATAAAAATGAAAAAATTCATGAACAAAACTTATTCCCGGGGAATAAAAAATACTCAGGCATAAATTATCAAAACTTGAAACAAAGGAATATGTGATTCAAATGTCTCATTCCCTGGAATAATATTTGTATCATGAAACAAACACCCTCAAAGATTAAGGAAGGAGGGAGTACAAGTCCTTAAGAAATTAATTTTATTTAAATAATCTCTTAGAGTTCAACACCCTGATAATCAATGTTAACAACGGCAGATGACGGTCAGCCAAAATTTGCCATATGACATAAACATGGCGTTGCAGGATATGTTGAAACATGGCAACTAAAATATATGTTACTGCCTATGGTTGGTGGGCACAAATCTGTCATGCCATAACGCCACGGCAGAAATTTGACAACACTGCTAATAAATTAGACCCCCTATCATTTCAATATTACACCTTTAACATGGTGGGCATTCACAGATGCAAATATTAGCCAATAGTATTCAAGAATAAAGGAAAATGGATGGAGAAACTAAAATACAGGGGATTTGAAGTTTGACAGATCAAATTTATACAATTCATCTTTGAAAGGACTAATTTGATATTGAATGTATCTTTCAGGGACTTAAATTCCATATCAGATACTTGTAAAAAAAGGATAAACACATAATGAGTAAATTAAATAGTTAAAGCATTAATGAAGGATTTTAGACAGCAAGCTAGGTATTAGTTATTTGTTCATTTTTTAAAATATTTTCCCACCTTATTCAAAACCTGCAGCATCTGTTCATTTCAACTAAATCAAATGCGTTGACTGTTGAGTATATGAAAAAACTAGAGCTCAGAGCCACTGTAATCATGCTTGTCAATTAAGGAAGCAGCAAGTCAACAACAACATAATAGTGATATTAGTAAAAACATAAATATCAGAAACTACATTTGTAGTGTTATGGTAAATAAATTAATGAAAACAACACATGATTTACAAATCTAGACACACAAAAAATTTGTCAAATATCAAGTATACCATTGGTGCTAAGATGTACATATAACAATTTTCTAATTAAAAAGTAGCCCATGAAAAACGTAATTAATGCCCTGTAAGCAAATAAACGTAATTGGTGACAACTCGTATAAGAAGCCAGTATCATAGCAATAGCACAACCTATTAAAGCAAATACACTGGACTAGTGACTTTTCAAATATTCAAATTCCTTACCAACTCCAACAAGAGCAACTACCGATGAAATTGCATCTGCACGATGATGCCATGCATTTGCTTTCATCAATCCACTGCCTTGCCTTTCACCAGCTTGTTTTGTTATCCAGAAAAGCCTATATATTTAGAAAGCAAATATAAATATTGATGTATTGAAGAAACAATAATAAAACAAAAAACCTAGTGGTTGCATATTAATGGAGCTCAAATTACTAGGCTCTGTTGTCAGAAGTCCAACTAAAAAACGAGATTTAATTTAAACACTATTTAATGAGCGAAGGTCAAGGAGCCAAGGCCAAAGTGAGACATTCCCTAAAAATTTGTGTTTGGGCTAACATACCTGCAACAGCTTAGTCAAAATTTCCAGGGATTTAATTAATTAAACTTTATTGCCTAGTCTTAAGATTTCTTATTTGACAATTGATCTTCTGTATCTATAGTCGGCTTCTATTCCTTTGTATCTTATACTCAAGTTGGAAAGAAGCATATACGACATAGTTAGAGCTCAGCAAAATTCAGCATGTATAAACAGTGGCACAGGTGGGCTAGAATAAATGTCGAAAACACTAGGACCTTTCCGCGCTGTTTTATTACAATACTAAGTAATGGTCTTACCCTTCTTTAACACCTATTGACACAAGAGTCATATTCAAGGCAAGTATAGGATGATCCATGTCTATTCCATGGTGATGCCCGTCTTTTCCGTGGCTATGCACATGCTCATGTGCCATTGCTTGGCTAATCATTTCAGGGGCAGCTGAGAATAATCCCTGCACATGTATACAAACGACTTCTAACTATAAGAAGACAAAAGATCTTATTTCATACTTGGTCTAACAAAATGCTCAATGAAGTTTCCTTGAATGATGTTGTTTGTGGAAACTGGTGAAGCAACAAAACTATTGAAATTTGAATAACATACCGTCAAAATATCAACAGCGTGCCACGCAATGCCACCCCCAGTGGCCAAAAGCATACAAGAGATTCCTAGAGCTCCTAGAGTCTCAAATTTACCATGTCCTGAGATACAATTAAGGAGAAATATAATCATAAAAGACAAATAAACCTTTTAGAGACACATAGTCCTAATAGAACTTGAGAAATCACATATGATTGGCAAGAATTATACCAAATGTATAGAAACATATTATAATAACATGTCCATAAACTTTACTGCTTATTTCATAAACTCTCTAGGATAGATTATAAAAACAACTTATAACTTATACAAAAACAAAGTGACTTGATCTTATCTTTTTATACACTAGTATGATAAGCCAGCACTTAAATAAACTGTTTATTTAAACATACTTTAAACTCCTAGCATGACATCTAATGATGAATGAAATGCTAGCATTCATAATCTATGAAGTAGAGACACCGGAAACACGACACCGACACGTCGACACCAATAATAATTTGAAAAATGAATTAATTAAACATGATCATAAGTGTCAGTGTCAGTTTTGAACATCGACACTGACACGGACAAAAAAGAATTCGGAGGTGTCAATACTACAGAGTTCATAATATTTAATAAAAGAGTAACTTTGTGCATATAAGAGATAAATAAAGTAGCGTGTAGATACAAATCAAGTGACCATATGGGTGTTCTTTATCTCTCGGAGCCTTGGCAAGTTTAAAAGACACCAAAGCTATGCCACTGAGAACCTGTAACACAATATACAAACTACAGTGACGAAAGTTGCTTCCACTAAACCATTTAAAGCGTCCTTATTAATATACTACTACTTAATTAGCTTAGTTGAACGAGAATAAATAAAGATATATTAGAAGAAAAATCATGTGATTAGTAATTAATTGAACAAATTGAAAACGGTAAAGGAATCTATCGTTGCGTTAACACATACCACGTCGGATACGGAATGAGCAGCATCGGCGATAATCGCAGTGCTACCAGAAAGGTAACCGGTAATCGCTTTTCCGGTGGCTAAAGCAACGTCGGCGGCAAGACCAAGGCGGAAAATATTCTCCCCGTCGTTGAGCTGCTGAGGAAGTTGACGATCCTGATCATGATGAGAATGACCGAAATGCCACCTCCTAGGGATTTTGAACGCTGGATTATGGGAGGAAACGAAGGAAGAATCGGATTGAGAGAAATTAAGAGGCTCAGGCGCCGGAATGAGGAATTTGGAAGAGGAAAGCCGTGTGATGCATGTTCTGTAAATGGGATTCAGATTGGTGAATCTAAATCCCATAGTGTTGTTCTTCGAGAGTTCTTATCTAGGGTTTCGTGGATTTTGATTCTGTTATAACGAAAACTACGCTGAATGGAATCGGATTCGAGAGTTTGTAAGCTGAATTTGGTGTTCTCGATGTTCTTGGAGTGGCAAATGTGTGGAATATGGCATGTGTCACACCTTCATAGAATAAAAAATGAAACAGTGACTATTTTACACAGTGTAGTTACACGTGTCTTTTGCGCACACGTAAAAACATCTCAATCGTGCAAATTAAACAAATTAGCTATGTGGAGCCTATTTTCAAAATGGGAGACTCACTCACAGAGAGCGAGTATTTGAGGGTTTTAAAGGAGAGTTTTCTTAGAACTCCTCTTTTATTTATTTAGGATTAGTTGAAAATCGAATTCAATCGAGCCCTAATTAGTATTTAGTGTATTCATTTTTATTATTATAGAATGGATTTATTATAATAGTGGAGTTTATAATGTTATTAAGTTATTATCATTTTTATAAGTAATTCTTAGTTGATTTAATAATTAGAGTTTAATCTCTGCAACTGCGATCGAGAGAGAAATAGAACTATTTGATATTATAAATTAACTCTAAACTGAGTTAGTTAGTCCAATGGACTAAATATTTGTGACGAAAAAAACAGCATATGTAATATGAAATTTTGAATATTATTTAATTTGTGATTTAAAGTAGGATAATGACAAAATAAATTAATGTTAAATGATATTGAAAATGTTACAACGTGATAATAATTTTTTAATAGTGAAAAAATATGTTTTCTTTAAGTAATTCTAAAATCTTGATTTTTTTTTTAAATTATAAAATAAATGTTTGTGAATTTTATAAAATATGAATCATTTTAATGTATTTAATAAATATCAAACGGACCAAATCTTCCTGATTTACCTGTCAAATTGATTTAATCGAATTTGTCGAAAATCAAAATTTTATCGTCAAAATTGGATCTTAAGAATGAAACCGCAGTTTACGCCAGATTTAAATTTTAGATTTAATTTCGACTATGATTGATAGATTATCCAGCCTTAATTCTAACTATAAATTTGTTTATGAAGGTAAAAAAAAAAAAACTAGCTTTTACATTTTAGTTCTTAATTTTTCAGCTGATGACAATAATAAAAAAAACTGTTTGGTAACAACCTTTTAATAGAGGTGGCAAAACAGACTGATGTCTGTCGAGCCAGTCCACCCTCCCGCCAAAAAAATGCGGATTGGGTTGGCATTTCGTATCTGCCTACCCGCTAAGTCTGCCCCACCTTAAGATCATCTCGTCTTAAGCCCGCCAAAAAAGGGGCAGATTGACTCGCCAGCCGAATTATCAAGCACTCAATATTTATTTTGGTTGGTTGAAGGTTAATATTTGAACTATAGTTTTGAAACTCTTGTTAATGATTCTATTTTAAGTGAAATTTCTTGTTGGTTTTAGACATTTAGTTGTCATTTTATGTTATCTAATTGTTGATTTAATGCTTCTAATTGAAATATAAAAAAAAAAATTATTGTAATCTATTAAAAAAATCTTTAAAAAACAAGCGGGTAAGTTTGCCGCCCGTCACCTTGGCGGACGGGTTAGATTTATAAGCCAAATTTTACTTGGCAGGCTTGCCCGTCCCGCTCTTTTTTGTAAAGGCTTAAGGTGGGGCGGGTGGCCTATTTTGCCACCTCTTCCTTTTAACTTGTAGTTTCTAGTTTTTTTTATTAATTTTTGAGTTTTTTAAAGGTATTTGAAATAGTTGTTGAGTTTGAAGTTTTTAACAAAAATTTATTATTACCTTTTATATTTTATTATAATTTAAAGTAAAATAAAATTGTTTTAAATATAAAAATAAGAAAGATCAATATTTTTTATAAAATATAGTATGTAACTCTTCACATCCTTTGGTGTTCTCGCATTTTCTCTTAATTGATATTCACTCATATTGCATCCTTTATAGTGTGTCGTCTTAATTGATATTCACTCATATTGCATCCTTTATAGTGTGTCGTCAAATCTTAGTTATCTATCTCTCATTTTTATTTTCATACAGATATCATCATTTCTCTCATTTTTATTATTATTTTAAAATTATAGTGTTATTATTTTATGTAGCTTGTTAAATTTCATTACAGAACTTGTAATTAAATGTTTAACACACGCACACGCACACACAGACATGCATCTACACACGCGCGCACACACATATCCACCCGAATAGGCGCACACACACACACATGCACACGCGTGCGCATACACAGACGTGCACACACACACACACACACATGCACACGCGTGCGCATACACATACGTGCGCGCACACACACACACGCACGCGCACACGCAAGCGCACACACACACGCACAAACAAACATGCACGCACATACACACTCATACACACGCACACGCACACAAGCGCACACACACGCACTCATACACGCACACCGCATACACGCGTACACACATGCACGCACGCATACGCGCACACGCCCACGTGCACACACACATACACACACACTTTCACACACATGCACACACACACGGGAACGTACACACACTCACACATGCACATACATACACACATAAGTCAACTCAAGATTCAAGATGAGTGTAGTGTAAAGTGGAGATCATAAAATGTATCTTTGTTTTTTCGTGTGAGATGACTTTTATAATTTGGTTCATGTGGAACCTATTTGCATTGATTTGGACCTCGGCGATTTAGGCCTTTGGCCAGTCCAGAATAGTGCCCCTAAGGCTTATTAGGTACTTAGAGACTCAGAGAAGTCTTCGGCGATTGTGGTCGGCCTCCAAAGATGTCTTTTGATTCGAACTAGAAGTGAGACTCTTAGAGTCAGTTGAAAAATTAGTGGGGAATAAAGAGCATTAAATACATTTCCATCATTGAAACGTTTTGTTGCTTTTGTTTGACACGTTGGCTGAAATGACTAGTTAGGGCATAGCATTGTTTATAGTGCTCTTGAGTTTGTTTACATTTTTAAGGGAAGATCTAGCCATTGATTTTGTAAATTCCTTTTACACCTTATTTGGCTTGTTCAATCATCTTCTCATATATATAAGTGTAGTTGATCACCAAAGAAAATTTTCATAATCGTTGACATCCAGTTTCATTCAAAATGGTTTTAATTAGCAAACATCTTATTATCTTCAATCCCAAAACACTTATTGAAGTAGTTACAGCTCTTAGCTTAAAACTTCTACTTTTCTTCATTCATTTTCTTTCTCAACCTCATCTATCTAGGTAGCCTTCTCAACTCACGTTTTAACCTACAACATTTTTTGTTCTTTGGTAAAGATTGAGTGATAGCCTCATTTGAATAGTTAGTTATTATGAGATTGACGTTTCTTTCATTGCAAGAATGAGGGTATCTTTTGATTCCAATTCCCCTCCCTTTGCTCATAATTTCATGGGATACAAAGTTATATCCTTGACAAATGACTCTAACTCGGAAAAGACTTATGGGAACTCTTTTGTTGAGAAGACTTCTTCCATGGACTCTTTAGTCGCCTTATTGTCAGGTGATGATGAAGTTGAAAAAAACACAAAAGGGGGTTGAGTTGCGTTTTCTCTTTCTTTCTTTTAAAACTCTTAAGTTAGATTCTAAACATAAGGTTTAGAATCAGAGTTAGTTAGAGATAGGTGTCGCTACACACAAAAAAAAACAATCGGCGAAGACACAAAGTCGCAACCAAATTCGGGGTTCGAGAGTCGATTACGTAAGAGGGAGGTATTAGCACCCCTCGCATCCACTGTACTCAGCGGGATCCACTCTTATTGTTCTAACCAAGGGGGCGTATGTAAATCTTACTTGCTAAGGAAATGCATGAATGAAAAAGGAAAACGAAATGGGGAAAATAAATGGGGGGAAATAAAAGGGGGCTTGCCAAGATCTCACAATCATGTGCTTACGCATTCCCTTATACAATGGGAAAGTAAGAGCAATTGTAGTTCGGAGGAGTACGGTGAAAAGGGGAATATTAAAAAAAGAAAAGATGGCTCGCCAAGGATTAGGGTCCTTGTGTCTACGTATCTTCACTTGAACAAAGTGAAGAATCAAAGCGTCTGTAGTTCGTGGGACTATGATTTGTTGGTGTTTTTTATGGACGATGCTAACGTTCGTATTCTAGTAGTTAGGTGTTTTATCGCTCGCTCGTGGAGTCTTATGTGTTACATGTATTGCGGTATAACAAAAATAACATGCCCTTTTGAAAATGGTTTGGCGAGAAAATTCTGAAGGACTAAAAGATTTGCATTTGTTGAAGTGTTTTTGTTAGGGTTTGAAAAGAGTTTGAGATACGTATTGTACTAAAGTCTATGAAAGTAGGAGCAAATGTTTTATACAAACAATCCAAGTGTCTTGCGTACAAAACACTCTAAGAAGAGGTAAGGAAAAACTCTCGCTCATCTTTTCCCATGTGCTTAAGGCTCGTGACGTACTACACACATCATGTTTATTAAGTATTTTTTTAGTTTTTGATGCGAGAAAAGATTAGATGAAAAAAAATCTAAGGGAACTGAATCCTAAATGTTATCATGCAATGATGATCCTTAAGTTGGGATTAAAGGGAAAATGATAACCTAATGTGATCATGCAAGATGGACCTAGAGTTGAGGATGAAGGGAGATTCTACCCTAATGTTGTCATGCTTGGATTGAGATCCTAAAATCTGTCCTACTCCAATCTTAATCAACAATTAAGTTGAACTAGGAGATCCTAAGGGAACATGCAATTAAAGTTAAGAACAAAATAGTTCAACATCACAATTAATCAAATAAAGCCAAGCACAAATTAAAGTTCATGTCGTGGCAAAGTGTCGAGTACAAGGTGAGGCATCAAGAATTAATCAACAACCGTAAAAAATTAACCATAATTTAAAATCAAAACCTAGCATCAAATAAAATTCAAGATCAAGACCAAGACCAAGCCTATATAAGACAAATATGAGAAAGAACTATTAACCAAATTAAATATAAATATTTAATAGGATTCAT